CTAAAATTATCCCTTTGCTTATTTTTCTTGCTTAGCTCAAGTTTCTTGTCTATGATTATAGCCATCTCGCACTGTTATATGTTTGTCATTGCATTTGCAGGAGAGAGTGAAATAAAAGTTATATGCTTCTTCACGAGAATGAAATTAGAATGACATGTCTACTTGCTAAGGTTTGTTGTTAAGCAAACTAATCAGTTAGTATGTTAAATCAGTTAGGCTGCAATTAATCAATGCAGACAATATCTAACCTGAGTTGTGCTTCTTTCTAATCAATTAAGGTGTTCAACAAAAACTGGGAGCCGTTTTTAAAATTGGACATTGGATTCAGCTCTTATTCAGTCCTTACGTTTTGCTGGGCTGATATAAGTATGTCACTATGTGAGACTCATGGTTGATATTGTCATCCTAAATCAATGGAAACCTGGCCAGTTTTATTTTGGAACCCCAGATCCCCAACTCCTCAAGATTTAGGGTAGCATATTATTGTTGATTATATAAAGTTGCTGCACTATCATACCACACACACACAATACTAATTCTGTTGTTTTTCATTTACCCGTCTAGAATTATGTCACATCTCTGCCATCCATCCTTAATAGGTATTTCAATCCTTTGGTACGTCTACACACATCAAACTAAGGCTTGGATGTTGTTGTTGTGTTATATCTACACACATGAGAACACATCAACACTTTTAACTTCATCCATTTATGATTGAAGTATGTATGTGTTATTTGTTTTCTGGATTATGTGTTTACTTTCAGCAGCATTTGGATGACATAATTTCAGGTTGATTCTTGGAAGAGGAACTGACTTTCAATCTAGCCAATGGATATGATTTTGATGACACTGTCAGATCTTACTGAATTACTAAGGGTTTAACTTTTGGAGATATGGAAGGAAAGGTGACTCTTTAACTTTTGGCTTAGTTCTTTAATAGCACACATTTGGATACGATACTCCATATTTAGCAATCAACTTGAACTTTGACAATTGATGTGTGTACAACCTGATTTTGTACGCACCTAAAAATTAAATGAGCAAAAGTTGATTTTGTAATAAACTAAAAGCTTCCCAACCTCATAAAAATTTGTCATGTATCTTTATTTTTGGTGTAGATTTCACAATATCGTGCTTATCCCCGACGGACACGAGCCTCTCTTCACATTTTTGCTATAGAATGTCGATGAGTACCAAAGTAAGAGCCAAGGGAAATCGTTGAAAATCATGGGGTTTTCTTTTGAAATCCTTCTATTTACACGGGCACTCATGTTGCCATTTTGAGTGCGACAAGCCTGTGTATCGCTGAACGTTTGTGATGTGGCAACAAAAAAGATCCAAAAAAACGAAAAAAAATAATGTATTCTACAAATAGATTTGCAATGCTTTGTAATATGTGTTCTTATTAAACTTTTAATATTGGTTATGAAGTTATATATATTTAAGAGTCATTCATGTGAAAACTAATATTTCATCTGTCTTGAATTGAATTGCAATTTGTAAATTTTAAGGTTGACTCATTCATGCAAATAGTTAAACTGTTTTTAATAATTAAAATATGAAAATCAGAAATAGGGTTGGATTCGGGTCGGGCCACCCAGCCCGTGGACCGGCCTGACCCACTACTGTGCGGGATTGGGACCGGCCCGGTTATCGGGTCCGGGTCCGGGTCCGGGTTGGGCCTAGGCCCGGGGTGGGGGGGCGGGTCCGGGCTCGGGTTTTACATTTGGCGAACCGGCCCGGCCGGGTCGGGCCCGGGTCTGGGCCAAATATTTTTTTTTTCCATTTTTTGGGGTTCCACCCTGGTTTGGCTTGATGGTTAGGGGGGGTTAGGAAAAAAAAACCGGAGGCCCCGGCCCGGACTCGGACTGGATTCGGTGGCTACCCGAGCCGGTCCTGGGTCCACCAATTCTGAACCGCCGCCCCGGCCCTGGCCTAGTCCGAATCCATCCCTAATCAGAAATGCATTGAGAGTTGCAAAATCCAAATTAAAATATAATAATAAGAGAGAATCACACTTTTAGTTCCTGAAATAGTCACCATATTGAAATGTGAGACGCGGGTTGTCCAGTTTGTAAATGTTACCCCTGAATTGTCCAAATTACTGCAAATGTGGTCATTTGTGCGGTGAAATGTACAATGTAACATTTCAGGGGTAACATTTACAAATTCAGGGGTAACATTTACAAATTAGGGAACCCGGGTCTGACATTTCAATATGGTGACTATTTCAGGGACTAAACGTGCAATTTTTCCTAATAATAAATTGTTATGCTAAATAAGTAGATAAAGTGAAACTATGTTGATAAAAACATGCTTTGCAAATCATTTTGGTTGGTTTTTATGATTTATCCCCCCCCACCCCCACCCAAACCACCCACCCCCACCCGCCTAGCACCCAATCCATGCGGCAAAAAAAAATTTGGGCCCGGACCGGCTGGGCCCGTCCACCAAATACCCATCCCGTAACCCGCCCGAAACACCCCCGGTTCGGTCCCCAAGTCTCGGGCGGGGCCGGGGCAGTACCGCACAGTTATGATCCGGCCCGGTCCATGACTAATCTGTAATATGATTATAAATGTGTTTATATCTTTACATTTATACAGGGCCGACTTTTGTGGGAGTTAGCCTAGACAAATGTCTAGGGCCTCCCAATAATATGGGGCCTCCAATTTTAAAAAAATCAATAGTATATACATTTATTTAATTAGAAATTAGAATTCCAAATACGGAGTAGGAAATAAGGGGTTATGTAAGAAGCATGTGTACGTGTTTACTACGAAATTAAAGTATTTTACAATTTTAAGAAGTATTTTACATATTAATAAGCTGATGTAAGATCACACATCTGGAATATTTCTTTACTTTTTTAGATTAGTTTTCCGTATATTGGCCCGCATACTCAGGTCATATAAATTAGTGGAGTATTAAATTAGGTTTTAAGTATGTCATGCGGGTACCATCAAAAAAAAAAGTATGTCATGCGGGTCATGCAGTCACGGTTTTAGTGGAGTATTAAATTAGGTCACATAAGATCAAAACCAGACAAAAAATTACAGTTTTAGTTTAAATTATTTTCAATTGTGGGAGTTCTTTTAAATTATTTTGTTATTTCATATCTAAAAAAGAGCTTTATTAAGTAGGGCTCCCTATATATTTAATTAGTTTTTTATTTCTAGTAGGACAGACGATATTTTTTAGTATGAAACTATTTTGAATATGAAAATTAAATCAAAATGTTTTTTCTTCAAGATATTTTCATAAAAGTAAAAAAAAAATATATAAAACCTCTGTCTCATTGTAGTTTGCCAGCTTTGATTTTTTTAGTCAAAGATAATAAATTTTGACCAAACATTTCAATTAATGGTAGTATATTTATGAAAAATTTAATAATCTTATATTTTTATGATTGTATTTTTGACAAAAAAAAATGATTTTGATAGAGTATATGGGCCTGGATCCCATGGCCCGCATACTCAGGTCAAAGCACGTCAGCAGGACATCCACGCGGCACGCTATGGCCCAGTGGCCGGATAAGCTTAGCACCCCAACCGGACTTCCAGGGCCGCATCGGCCAATGGACCGCATCGGCCATGGGACCGCATCGGCCAAAAGACATCGCGTCGGCCAGACTTCGTCCTGGTGGAATGAATGTTTCTACTTTATTTGCTAAGTGATGTACTTAACCCATTAGTGGCCCTATTCAGCCCAAAGAAGGCATAACTATTGTAATGGGCCTCCTAAGCCCAAAGCTAGGAGGCCAAATCCACATTTTACCTATAAATAGACCCCGAGGGGCTAGTTATAGGGGGTTGAAAAATATTAATTGCTCACTTTCTCTCTCTAGCTCTCACTTCTCTCTAGGATTAAATACGCTATCAGATTTCATTTTCACATTATAAATACTACATACTCCCCCGTTCTTTTTTAAATATCTTTTTCCACTATTCACATGTTCTACTTTGACTCTATTTTATTTATTAATGCTTTACTCTCTCCCTCCCATTTTGGTTGTCCTACTTTCCTTTTTGGGTTGTCCCAAAATGAACGTCTTGTTTCCTTTTTTGACAAGTAATATGTGGTCTTTATCATTTTAATTAATTCTAATCAAATTACAACCACAAGTTTTACTTTTCAACCACTTTATTAATAAACGTGCCAAATTGAAAGTGGACAACCGACGGAATGAAAGATATTAATGATGAAACTTGTGTTTTGACAAACGTGAAAAATGGGCTGTTGCATTTAAAAAACAAGAAGTATGTAGTACACTAGTACGTAGTACTACCTTCGTCCCGAATTGATTTGCAAATTTGACTTTTCTTGATCAAACAGTTGTGTTTTGTTCACCTAATTAGGATGCCAATTTTTAATTACATTCTAATTTGGAGTTTACAACTTTGAAGAGATTTTGATGTAGTTTATGAATATGTAAATTTTATGTATTAAAAATTAAATTAATTATGCATAAGAAGGGTTGACTTTTATTGTTAGTTGACCAAAAAATGTTGACTTTGCAAAACAAATTGGTACGCATAAAGTATATCGAGTAATATCTTAATAGGTAAAGTTAGATACTCCCTCCGTCCCTATTATATCTTCCAAATAGGTTTGGCACAGAGTTTAAGATAGTGGGTATTGTGTGGTGGAGAGTTGTGCAGAGGAGAGAGAAATGTGTAAGAATTGCTGTGAACCACAAATTCTGGCCAAAAAGGGAAAGTGGAAGTTTTAATTGGGACGGACGAAAAAGGAAAGTTGGAAGTTTATTTAGTGAGAGAGGGAATACATGAACTTTTTGAAAAGGCCCACTTTGACTAAGTACAAGGATCGAGGATTCGAGGGAGTGTTACTGTGTTACTATATACCTAAACCGTCAAACGTAAGGCATGTGCGATGTACGGACTAGGATTGATGGTGATGTGGAACAGCAAATTTGGCCCTTTGCGTGTTGTCTATATATGAAGTAGTCGTACTATAGTATGGACTCAATTATTGTTCATTCTTTGCTCAGTACGTTTATATAGTCCGTATCTTTCTTTGTTGATACAGCTGAGAGAACAATTCAAGTTAAGCTAGCGAGCTATCATGGCACCGCCTCAGCGTCGGAATGAAAACATCAATGATAAAAGAGATTCTCTGTGCATCACTTTCCTCGTCGCCATCGTATGCGCAGGATTTGTGACGTATACTGTAGCCAGCTTACTCAAAGTCCGCAAATACACCGGCGACTACCCCATCTTCACCCTGCAAAAAGCCGCGGTACACAACCTCAACCTCACCGCCATTACCGGAGCGGACTCCTCTTTTCTCCTAGACACGAGCATAAACATCACGCTGCTCTACCAAAACCCAAACGGCCACGTGGCAATCTCCTATGACCGTCTCGCCGTCAACACCTTGTATTTGGGCGAGCCCGTTACTGTTCCGATCATTCTTCCTCCGTCAGTTCAGCCCCCAAAGAATGCCAACTCTTTATCGGCATTCTTGAACGGACATTCTGCTCCGGTGGGTGGGGCGGGCTTGGAAAAGATGCCGCTCATTCCGATCAACATCACGGTCGAGGGCTGGGTTACTTGGGACTCTAGCTACCTTTCGAAGGAAGGAAAACTGCATGTCATTTGCCCATGCTATCTTCGGTCGGGTTACGCCGGGGACTATAATTTACGCCAGAGTTGCACGGTTGACCTCGATCAGCATGCCTTGAAGACGACTTAATTAATCCACTATACGGAGTATATATATAATTAATCATTACTAATTAAATATTATTGTGTTTTATACGGAGTACTATTAATTACTACTATATACATGCATACATACGTACTCCGTATTATTAATTAGCTAATAGATCGATGCATCACGCATGTAGTTGATAACTCATACTCCATAATACTTCGAATATGTGGTGTATAATTATGCAATGGAGTATGTTTTACGTAGTATTAATTAATGAAGTAATTACGTAGTATTAAATATAAGTGTGTATGCATGTCTTCAAGCATTGATAAATGTCTTTGCTCTTATCTTATACTCCTTAATTACTCCGTACTAATCTTAACGAGTTAACAGTGTAAAAGTGTAAAACAGTAAATTACAATACATAATTCTACTTAATTAGGAGGACCTTAAATGAAACATGTTTTATTTTATAAGTAGGGTTTTCCTGTCGTAATGTCGTAATAAACGAAAACAATTTTAATGATCATGCATGTATACTAGTGCATTTTATTTATGTTTTAATTTAGTTCTATTCAAGGAATTTTTATATTACTCGCTCCGTCTCAATTTGTTTTGTAAAGCCAACATTTTTTTGTCAACACTCCCTATTTATAGTTAACTCAATTTTTAATAATTAAAATTTACATATTCAAAAATTACATTAAAATTTCTTCAAAGTTGTAAACTCCAAATTAGAATTTAATTAAAAATTGACATCATAATTAAGTGAACAATGCGAGACTGTTTGACTAAGAAAAGTCAAAATTACAAATCAATTTGAGACAGAGGTAGTACTATATTAGTATACATAGTAGAGTATATGTTTGCATTACTATTAACAGAAAAACGAAAATTTGTTACAGCTAGCGGCGACAGAAAAATATAGGGAGTACAACATAAGAAGACTAGCTTAACCAAGCTTTGAGACAAAATTAAATACGAGTATTGGAGTTGAGCAAATTAAAGAACCGAAGAAATACTATGCATTATAGAGTGCAGAAGTGGATATGACAATCAGGTGTGAACGGTAAAACAGAAAGTCTAATACGATAGTAATTACTAATTAGTAGTACTTCGTATATTTCTCAAATAGATTGAGACATCATCGTGTGGACTTATAACAACCCAAATTTTAGTATAGAAACTCCTTACCAAATATCACAAAATCACAAACCCCGATTATCAGTGTTGTCTCCCCCGTAAATTGGTATATGATGTTATCTAGCCTGGAAATTCACCGAAAACATATTAATTAGTTGTAACAACTTCATTTTAGTCAATAAAAAAGTTATCAGCTAAAGTAAGAATGATTTCTTTTGAACTGAAATTTGCTGGTCTGGTCTGATCTGGTTTGATCTGGTTTGTTTAAGTCTGGTCTGGTCTGAACTGGTCTGGTCTGGTAAACGTCTGGTCTCTGTGTATTTTGTAACTGTCCAAGTCTGGTCTGATCTGGTTTGGTCTGGTCTGGGATTGAAAACAGTCTAAAAGAAAACATCCTAATTTCGGAACGGCGGTAGAATTGCGAGAGGTCTCCTTCACAGAATCACAGCTTCAATTTAGTCACTATATCATGAGGAGCGGCAGAGGGTAACATCATATTCTCATGTCCAAAATGTCATCATTTAATTTGGAAGTGTTCTTATAAATTAAATGATGTAGTGAAACTATAAACTAAGATAGCCTCCAATCCTCCTTTCCTTCAATAGGAAAGCTATGGAAATACGGAGTAAAACCTAAGGTTTATATGAATGATATACAATGTAAAAGTTTTTCTTAGAAATGTATTATTTGTGCCAAGCGCATTGGCATTCAATTCGATGATACCACTATGAATCTTTGACACGTCCATATGAGGTCACAAGTTCAAATTTCATTTCAGTCAACAATTGTTAAATAGGTCCATGTACTTTCGTGAAAAAGTCAATCAGGCAATCAAGTCCATCAAGGTAAAAAAATTAACCAAATTTGCCATTTGAGCGGTAATCAACCGATAACCCTAGTACTTGTTGATGTGGAGGCTGACATTTATGTAATTTCCATGTGTATGTTGTGTTTTTATTTATAGAGTTAATTCTCTAAAAAGATCAAAAAAGTGACCCAAGGGAACAAATAGGACTACATGTTTTTTATTCCCTTTAGTAGGACTATTTATTTTCCCAAATGATTTCAGTACGTTTGCTTCAATTCTAATCAATTTTAGCATGTTGTGATCCGCGTTTTCAAGTGAGTGATTATTCAAATCCTAATCCATAAAACGAACTATCCAGAGTGATTTGAGGTCAGTTTTGATTGTTTTTTGTGCTATGAGGTTGGATTTCCAGTGCAAGATCTTTAATATGTACAAATATGTTAATTATCCGATTAGGCTTGTGATTAAACAAAATTACAACATCAAAAGTGGATACAATAAAAAATTATGGAACTATATCAATAATTTTTTTCTATATGTAAATTAAAAGTTACTTAACCATCATTAAGGCTCTGTTTGCAACTACTTGTGCTTAAATAAAAGCACTTTGGGGAAAAAGTGATTAGTAGTAAAAGTTGGTAGTGTTTGGTAAAATAAGTGCTTTTTGTGTAATAGAAAAAATAAAAAGTAGATTCTACACGAAAATCGAGGAAGTAAAAGTTGGTAGTGTTTAGAAAAATAAGTGCTTTTTTCTTAAAAAAAAAGAAGCCAAAATCACTTTTTTTAATTGGTTGCAAACAAGCCCTAAAGGATAGGGAAGGGGGTAAAAGTACATTCTTGATAGTGTAGGTGTGTAAGTGACAATAAATCAAACTTTAAGGGGGGTGAATGGTAATTTCCCTTTGAGAAATAAAATAAGTGGTACAAATCAAAAGTAATGTGTCATGCAATGAAATAGGTGTGCAAATATAAACTTCTAAACCGTCAATAAAGATACTACATGATATAAACTTCTATGTAGACAATATTCAAGACAAACGTGGTTGGTCGTATTGTCCATCTAAGTATAAATTTCAATTAAGATTAACTTGTTACCCTCAAGACCTAGAGATGGCAACATGCATATTGCCGTATCAGACCTTTTGGATAATTTTTCCGCCACATAACCGTCCCATTACCCAATGGGTTTATTTGTATTTAAACCATAACCGCCCCCAACGGGTAACGGATATAACTGTGGGGTCCGCAGGTAATCAATAATCACTGTATTACATGAGTTATTGATATTTTAATATAAAAACAATATATTAAAAGGAAAAAAATGATATCTCCTAGACGACTCTAAATGTGAGAGGCCACTTAAGAGTTTTCTACATCTATTACGCAAGAAAAAAGGCAACCTAAATTTATTTGAACTTCAAAATACTTATATTGAAAATATCTAGAATGGCAGAAAGATGCCCAGTTTGATTTATTATTCCTCCACTTCCACCATAATTTCAACGAGTAAGCCTTCTCAATATCAACAAGAGATCTAATATTCAAACCACCCTCATCATAGGCTAAACACAGATCTTTCCACCTTATCCATTGAGCTTTATGTTTAGTATCATTTGACCCCCATAGGAAATTAGTTATTCTCTTATGAAGACTCTTGATAACAGCCTTAGGCAGAGTGTCAACAGCCAATATATGCAAAGGGATAGTATTAAGAACATGTTTAATAAGCACCAGTCTCCCCCCAAAGCTTAAATTTTTCTGCTTCCATGTTGATAACTTCTTATCAAAGCTTTGGAAAATACCCTGACAGTAATTTTTCCTGTTTATTCCTTTGTGCAGAGAAGATCCAAGATACTTCATAGGCAAATTGATTTTAGTCATACCCAGGAGCCTCTCCATGTTCCTGATTTTAGAAAAAGTAGTTAAATAAGTCAAATATAAACTATAGAAGTTGTATCGTGTTAGTTAATTTATGTAACGTACCTCGAAAGTACTACACCGGAAGTTTAAAATTTTTCCAAACAAATCTTTCCTAATTATGACAAAACAATAAATTTAAAAAAAAAAATAACATATCTGAATTAGAACTTACATATCTTCTGGTCCAGTGGTGATAATCTTGACTTTAGATATCCACGTGATTTGTCCTTTCTGAAAGAATGGTTAGATCTCCCTAAGAGAGGCTAAGAAATCTCTTCGCTGGGAAATAAATTGGTAATACTGAATCTTGAAAATTTGATTTGGATATTTTTTGAGTTCAATTGGAGGATGCTAAGAATACATGTCTCCAACTTTCTGCATAAATTGCAGCTAAGTAGTCTACTTTAATTTTATGCTTCTTCACTTCAATATAGAAGCTTAATAATACATTTATGTTCAATGTTTACTAAAGTGTCCAGCCACATGAATTCCTTATATAATCTAACTATAAAAATAATCTTAAAAATGTTGGGTGATACTAGCTATTTGCATTTTGAGTCTACTTTTACTAATCTCTTTGTAATAATTTACATGAAGATAAATTTGTGTACGTAAATATACTTTCAATTGTTATTTACTATTTATTATAATTATAATTGAAAGAAATAATTATCCCCCATATGACTAAAACACTTTCACTTTCCCAATCTATGACCAAACTAGTTTTTTTCTCAAAATATTACCTAAATTGTATTTTTAATTAAAATTCGTAATTAATAAATAATCAAATTATTTCTATGGACAAATTTACCTTTTATGTTATATCCATAAAACCCTAAGCTCCTACTCTTTTTCTCCAACCCTAGCAACTAGACGCAAAAGATCTCTGGCTTCCTGCGCTCCCCGCACGCCTTGCTGCCACCGGCTCACCATCCGCCGCCGTTCAATAGCACGACCACTGCCATCTGTCCATCTACTCGCAGGTTTCAAGGCCACCCCCAATCCCTCGCTAGTTCGCTGCAGGCTTCGCCAAAAATCGACCTCGCAGCACGCAACCTCCATCCCTAGACCCGCGTGTCGCTGCCGTCCCAAGCCCTCAGCGTCGACGTCGTCCCGATCCCTATTCGTCAACACTGTCTCTGACCCCTCCTTGTCGCTGCCAAACCAGTCCCCTCCATGGTCGCTGCCAACCGCACTCCAAGTCGCTGCCGCTAAGCTGCGCCCCTCCGTCGCTCCAAGAACTCAAATTTTTCAGTCAAGGCGGCTGAAGTTGATGGCGGACCGAGGTTGAAGACGAACCCTGGGTTGAAGACGATGAAAGATAATGTGCCGTGAATAATTTACATTTAATGACATGAACATCACAAGAAGTGCAATGAGTTATGACACAAAGTGCAATGATATGGCAAGAAGTGCAATAATGTAAAACATGCAATGACATGAAAAGAAGTGCATTAAAAAGGACATGAAAAAGTCTATAAATTCGTAGCATTTTATGTAATATTGTGCTATAACTCCATCATGAAGTGCATTATATTTAACTAGATCTAAAAACTAAAGTTATGAAATCTAAAAAACGCTAATTTCATAACATTTTTGTTATGTGGTGCTGTGAATATCGCCATAAAGTGCAATAAATGTAGTGCAATGACCACTTCATAAATTGCATTATTTTTACCCGGACGAAATTAGTGTAAAATGCATATTTTTTAAAAAAGATTATTTTTGTCCTTCCACAATTTAATATAAAGAAAATGTCTTTTTTTTTTCAATTTTTGGTCATATTTCGGGAAGAAAACATAACTACTCACATTTCGAGAAACTCACTTTGTTTTAGTCATATCCCGGGAATTTTTCCTAATTGAAAATGTCTCCTGAATGGAGGGAGACGTCATACTTATAAAGTGGACATCAACTAACAACATATCTTCCATAACATTGAGAACGATGAGACTACACAATTATTATTTGAACAACCTCCTCAAGATGAGATTATTGTGAAACTAAAGTTGGTGCATCCACTCGTGGTTCAACTATTAATAAGAAGCTCAAAGCGGTCAAGATAGAGAAGCCGTGATATTATTCACCTTTAAATTTTGTTTCCCTTTCACATTTTGCATTTAAATGTTTTGAATTGTTATTTATCTTTTTTTTTTTGTTTTTTTTCAAGTAAGACGTTTTCATCAGATAATTAATATTTTCTTAGAATCTCATCCACTTGAACTCATTGACGTTGTGATTGCATGTTCTCATCAAACTCACATTTCTTTTTTTAATTTTTTTTATTTAAATTGATTTCCATATCCTAGACCAGATTACATCGAAACAGATCAGACTAGATCAGAAAATTTCATAGAGCATCTCACATTCATATTATCAATCGAAAATAATTTTAGTTTTAGTTGTAGTTTTAGAATATAACTTTCGTTTAATTATACTTTTAACTTAAGAATGACACCTTAACTTTCGTATAATTATATTTTTAAATCTATATACGTAGATAGGGTAGAAACCAAGTACCATCAATTGTGTGAGTGGTAGCTCAAAATTTTTAGCTTCTTAATATTTATGCACATTTAAACACATATTTCACAAATTATTGCTATTATTGTGATCCTACCATACCTTTTGTTGGAAAGATAGTGGTATTGGGTGGTGATCCCACCATACCTTTTGTTGGAAAGATAGTGGTATTGGGGGGAGGCTTCTAAAATATATTGTTTTTGTCCTCCAAAGGACACAAGATAAGATATTGTACAAGCAACTTGAATTCATTATTTCTGTGATCATACTCCAGGTGTTGAAGTTGACAAAAATTATGAGACTCGAGTGCGTGGGAGGAACATCTTATGCATTAGAGATTGAAAACCTTATTGGGTGGATTTAGAAGATTAGAGATAGGGACCTAAGGAACGGTGATGATGGAGAATCAATGTTGACATCCGCTCCTATGACTGATGGTCCTATTGAAGCTATTGTTAAGATCACTTATCTCAATTTTGAAATGCATTGTAATGACATTTCTTATTTAAATTCAAAGGCAATTCTTGCCCTAATCATTGATGAATGTGACAAGATCGCAGATTGATATGTTGGGGCTAACTCCTGGTGAGGTGAAGAGATACTTAAGCTCGAATTCAACATCTTCTAATTCAGACGTTGCATTTCAAGAGATCCATTCTCCAGAATTTCACAATACCATTAAATGTTCAGGTGTGCCAAGTCATGAGCTGAAACTCCAACTGATGCTAATGAGGAATATAGACCGTTCCCCCGAATTTTGTAATGGCACTAGCTTTATTGTAACTAAACTCGAAATCCATATTCTCGAGGCTCAGATGATGTCTAGAACAAATGTAGAACAAAAGTTTCTAATTTTGAAGCTTAGCTTGACTCCATCTGAACTAAAGCTTCGTGTTAGAATATATGTTAAATATATTCTATTCATTATGTATATATTTAGTTACCTTGTTTATAGCCATTTTGATAATGAGAAAGCACGGTTGAAATCTTTCATGGTATCAGATTAAGGTTCATTTCTCTGTGACCATCTCTGGTTTTTTTTTTCTCTTTCTCCTTTCTTCCGCTGCACCCCAGAAATTTGCCCTCATGGCTAACCCCCAAAAATTTCATTCAGCCCTCACTATTACGAATGTCAAAACTCTCATTCCTATCACGTTGGACGCAGACCACGGCCTATACCACTCTTGGGCCGCCCTCTTCAAAGTCCTCGTTCAGGTTCATGACCTTCATCACCATATCATTCCTCCCAAAGAAGAAACAGAGAAAGCTGCCTATGAGGCTACAAAGGCCGCCGACCCTGCTCTCTGGCGGAGATTGGATGCTGTAGTTCTGCAATGGATTTATGGGACTGTTTCCACGGACCTTCTTCATGCTATTCTTATCAAAGACGACACCGCCTGTGCCGCCTGGACTCGTTTAGAGTCGCTGTTTCAGGACAACAAAGCCTCTCGTGCTGTTCATCTCGAGGCAGAGCTTACGGACCTGAGTTTTGAGAACTTCTCCTCCATTGATAGCTACTGTAATCACATCAAATCTCTGGCCGAACAACTTTCCAATGTTGACGCCGCGGTTCCCAATAGCCGTCTGGTTCTCAAACTTACCGGTGGACTGCCTGAAGCCTACGCCGGAACTGTGGATTTTATTCAAAATCAAGACCCACTCCCTGATATTGAAAGTTGCCGCTCTCGCTTGAAGCTGGCCGAGCGTACCATCAAGAACCGCCTCACCAAGGAAGGAACCAACCAGTCACAGGCGGCCCTTGTCTCGTCGAGCAATGTCCAGAACAGTGGATCCTCGGCGGCATCTTCCTCTGCGCCTAAAAGCTCCCGAACCAAGAAGACCAATTCCAAGACTTCTGGACCCAACTCTTCTCCTAATAAAGGCCGTAACTCTGGGTCTTTATATAGCCCTAATTGGCCACCGCAACCATGGGCTTCATGGAATCCTTGGGTAGCCCAATAGGCCATGCCCCCTCCTGGCTACTTCACCCAGCCCCCGCTCTGCTGGACCGGGTATTTAACATATATTCTAACACTTCGGTTCATCACATTCAGCAGAGACAGTTTCCTTTGATGCTTAGTTACGTGATGAACATTAATAAGAGTTAGCAAAAGTCTTTGGAGAGAGTTGGTGTTTTCTTACGTCGTCCGATTTTCACTCATGGACAACTTCAAGTTGTTGTTTCAAGAGTAATCTCTTGTTTGTGTATAACTTTATTATATGTGATGATGACGGAAAAACAGTCAATAAATTTTTTGACATTGTTTACAAGGAAGTATATAATTTGTACTCGCTCTGTCCTATAGACAGAAACTCACAAGGTTTACGATGTTTGACTGCCCATAAAGTTAATTATATTTTTTAGTAAATAAAATTTACATATTGAGATTTAAATTAAAAGTTTTATAATGTCACAAAAAAATTCAAATTTGATTTAATATAAGTTCTATCTTCATTGAAAACAATATAATATACGCGTTGTAATATCTTTATCACAACATTTCTATATATTCACATATATTTTATTGCTTCCTATAAATGTTTCCATAGATTGCTATAAATGTTTTTACTTGGAAAATAAATCATGGGCCGGCATCAACATTTTCAAAAATCTATACATTGAAATGTTTTATTCTCCGCTCTTAGATTAAGGGAACAAATGGAGGATTATGGTGTGGTAAAGCCCACAACAATTTATTGGTAGGGAATTCCGTAAATTTTATGCTATATGAAGTACATATTTATTAGTAGGGAGTTTTAATTTTGTAATAAATTTTGATTTATCAAGCGTTAAGACATGATGTTTCAATTTATTTCAGAAATATAAATATATATACTTTACGATTAATCCCATATGTTCATACACTCATACCTCATTCTTTTTTTGTCTATACTGTTGCGTTGGTTTTTGTTGAACTCCAGTATTTGTTTCCAAGCCTTCCAAGGTAGTCTTCTTACTTCTTAGGTTGAACTAGTATTTTTTTTGTGGGGACTATTAGCTGTACGCCTGTACGTACCAACTGTACATTTTTTTGTTTGTCAAAAATGCAAACATAATATACATGTTTCATTCAAGGTCCTTCTAAAAGTGATGTATTGTAATTTACACCATTAAGATAAGAACAATGACATAGAAATATTCATCAATACTTGAGCACATACACAGATCAGATGCAATTAATAAAATATACGAAGTGCTCGTTAATATAATACGGAATATATCCCGTATTGCATAATTACATTGTTAACTAATTAAGTAGCGCATGCATTTATCTATGCATATATAGTAGATCAGATACGTACTCCTATTATATAGTAATCCTATAATACGAGTAGTAATTTAATATTTTAATATACTAGGTATGAAATCCAATAAGGGAAATATGATAATATTATATTGGTAATATCAGTAATTAATGATAATAATGGATTAATTAAGTCTTGAAAACATCTTCATCAACCTCAACAATGCAAGTCTGCTGCAAATCATAGTCCCCGGTATAGCCCGATCTCAGAAAGCAGGGGCAGTTGACATGCATTTTCCCGCTGCACCACTCATGATTCCAATCAGGCCTATCCCAAGCAATCCATCCATCCACAGTAATGTTGACTGGGATGAGCGCCATCTTATCCAAGCCCGTCCCGGCCACCGGGACAGAATGACCATTTAGGAAAGCCGATAAAGCGCCGGCAATTTTGGGCCGCTGAACAGATGCAGGAAGAACGGTGGGAACAACAATGGCCTCTCCAAGATATACGGCGCTGATGGTGAGGCGGTCATAGCTGATTGTGACGTGTCGGTTTGGGTTGAGGTAGAGTATTGTGACATTGACATTGGTGTCAACAAGGAAGGAGGAATTATTAGCTCCACGTCCACCGATAAGGGTGAAGTTGAAGTTGTAGACGGTGGCTTGGTTTAGGGTGAAAACAGGGTAATCAGCCGTGTATTTGCTGGGAAGTACTTCTAGGACGACGAACAGCACGGTAAACGGCACAAGAAATAGGAGTAAGATGATGAATATCCAGCAAATGCCGCCGAGTTTTCTGTTACCTATATCATCAGTAGGTGCCATAGCTTGTTCCTTAATTTCTCTGTCAAAAAACTTAAGGAATGAACAACGACTACAGAATATTTTGGACGTCAATTCTATAAATTCGAAGTGCGGTTTGACATCACCATCATAATGGCCCCGCGCGCTAATAATTTCACACTAGATGGCAAGAATGTGATTACGTGTTCAACTAATTAATTTACATCGACCCGTGTTTGTTTACGATAAAAAAAATTACATGGACCCATCTAAGATGCAATTAATTAACATGTGTTAATATATTGTTGGTCCAAACGTTTTTTGTATATTAATAATGATCGACACACTTTCTAGCAGTCCACTACACTGTACCCATTTATCTATCTGGCCTATCAGTATTTTTCCCTCCCGTTAGAAAATAATTCAGCTCTTTGTTGAGCTAATGGTGAGCTGTGTGTGCAGTGTATTATTTGAGTGTCCTTCTAATAAGACCAAAAATCCTATGCTATAAGGACAGTCCCTCCATCCACGCTTGTGGGTGTGGAGCGTAAGAGAGAGAGCTCAGCCAAACCACATTCTTCTTCCTCGAGTTTCCTTTGTGTGAGAACTTGATAGTGAGTACAAGTGAGTAGAAGTGAGGTGTTAGCGAGGCTAAAAAGGTGTGTTGCTCCCTTAGCCTAAGTGTGCACAAGAGACAACCGGAAAACCGACCTCCGGACTGCCTGAGCCGGAATCCGGCGACGGAATCGATCCTCAACTACATGCATACATGTTGCTGGTTGAGATTTATCTTACAAAAAGAAGTATATATAAATATGCCTAAAGGATCAAATATGCCATCGGTATTGGTGGTGTAAGCACAATACAATTCACGAATTAACATAAAGTCTAATTTGCATCATGAACCGTCAAAACTTGGTTCAAATTTCATTTTTTACGGGTAATCAACCGGTCACCAGTCGATTCCAACATGTGCATCTCAAGTTGAGACTAAAGGTTCAAATAAACCTGTCACTCTTGATCAAATCACCCCTCAAACTAAGGCTTAAACTATCAATCAAACCGGTGATATTGCAGATGACCAGTTGGTTACCCATAAAAATGAATTTGAACCATTTTTTTCAAGTTCGGGGTGCGAATTGGACATTTTATAGTTTAAGAACTGAATTGAGCTTACACAACGGTACAACAACCTATTGGACTCTTTAGCCTATAAATATAAATATGTGAAAAAATTTGACAATTTTAAAGAGATTGTTCAAAATGGGAGTAAACGATAGATTATACTATGGGACTATTATCATCATCCTTGGGTAAAATTTACTCTAGAAGATAATTTTGGGACAGAGGACATATTTTTCATAATTTAGAAGATTTAGTCAATTCATGTGTTTCAGCCACAACTTCATTAATTTCAATAAATTCAACCGATTTAGCCAATTTTAGAGTTATCAAGAGGGATCAAAGTCATAAAAAGGAGATGAAATGGCCACAAACCCCACACATATAGGAAACACAATTTTAAAAAGGGGTGGACAAGAATAGTGAACTGTACCAAACCAAGGTATTGAATTGGAAATAATGTTTTATATGAATCTTTAAAATTCTATAGGGAATCGAACCCTACTGATTTCAAACCGTTTCATGATCGTTTTCACAAAATGATCATCGATACCAGACTGAACGAGACTGAACTTCAGATTCAACTATACATTTAGCATAAGTCCCTTATATACAATGAACTAAATACGCTACTCTCTAATATCATATTCCATTTATTTACGTTTTGAAGTGTGTAAAAATATCACTATGATTAACAACAAAATTTACATCTGTCCCAAATTGTTTTGCAAAGGTCAATATTTTTTTATCTACCAATATTAAAGTTAAATCCATCATATTCATTAATAGGTCAATCTTAATAATTAAAACAAGCATATTCAGAAACTACACTAAAATTTCTATAAGGGCATCCCCATTGGTAGGATTATTAAGAGATTAAATAAGTGACGTGACAGATTTTTTATAGAAGCATCATTGAGATGTTGGAATAAATCCGATAATACTTTAATCTTCATATTGGAATTATCTAGAGACTTAACTGAGCGGAAGCGTACCTGACTCCATTGGAGATGAACTTTACAGACCCGGGAGACGGAGGCTAGGGTTTGGATCTTCTAGTTGATACACACCCTCGGGAATTATCTCTCTAGCGGTGGGATGCAGAAAGACGGAATGGTGTGTACAACTAGGGACCATAACCCCTCTATTTATAGAGAATACTTAACCCTAATCAGCCCATCATTAATTAGGTTAAGCCCGTGGGTCTCTACACATTTGGGCCCTATACCTTATTAGATAACTTATTAGCCCACTTAAATTAATATCCATATGACCACTAATTTTTTGGGCTAAATATAAGATAGCATATAACATACAATTAACCCAATAAATAATATATTGTGAATATTATATGTAGTATAAGTCCAATAATCTAACAATCTCCCACTTGGACGACATACACATATGTATACACAATCCTTAGTATTGTATGTTTACTTTAGGAGCTCCAGAATTTTGCTATCAAACTGTAGTCATCTTTAATCAATCCGGTCCATTAATTATATCAACATAGGACCAAAGAAGTCTTTGCTATATTCACATAACTAGACCCATCAATGATCACATATATTAATATAATAAACGACATGGATCAAGTATAGGTGTGTAGCGTGGAAATAACATGAAGTGTGGTCTGGAATAGAATGTCTATTTCCAACTGGTCCACCTTTAGATCAATAATGTAACTGTAAGAGTACATAAAACTTTAAACTTCAAACTTTATACTTTATTTCTGCAGAAAATATCCTTAAAAAAAACTGAATTAACCAAAATTATAGAAACATTACAAACTCCCACTAAAACTCATAATCTTCAACTGATTTGACACCCATTTGAGCAACATGCTCATGAAACACTTTGGGTGGCAATCCTTTAGTGAGCGGATCCGCAATCATGGAGTTTGTGCTAATGTGTTCCATAGATAACATTCCTTCTTGTACTCGTTCCTTAACAGCCTTAAATTTGACCCCAATGTGTTTTGCCTTGGTCAAACTACTGTTGTTCTTAGCATAGAGGACTGCTGACCTATTGTCACACAATAGCTTAAGTGGTGTTTCAATGCTATCCACTATGCGCAGTCCACTAACAAAATCTCGCAGCCATAATGCCTGATTGGATGCCTCATAACATGCTATAAACTCTGCTTCCATGGTGGAAGTCGCTGTAAGAGTCTGCTTGATACTCCTCCAGGAGATAGCTCCTCCAGCCAGAATATAGATGTAGCCCGAAGTGGATTTCAAGGAATCCTGACATCCAGCAAAATCAGAGTCGGTATACCCAATGATCTCAAGCTGATCCGATCTCCGATATGTGAGCATATATTCCTTTGTTCTCTGTAAATACCGCATGACCCTTTTGTCTGCTTTTCAATGGTCCATTCCCGGATTGCTCAAATATCTGCCTAACATCCCAACAATGTATGCTAAATCAGGTCTTGTACAAACCTGAGCATACATCAAACTTCCTACAGCCGAAGCATAAGGAATGTTCCTCATTTCTTTAGATTCAAAACCATTCTTAGGGCACTGTATGAGACTAAACTTGTCTCCCTTAGAAACCGGAGTATCTCCTGGTTTGCAGTCTTGCATGCCAAACCTTTTGAGAACTTTATCGATATAGCTCTTTTGTGAGAGTCCAAGAACGCCTTTGGAGCGATCTCGGTGTATTTGAATTCCTAATACAAAAGAAGCCTCACCAAGATCTTTCATTTCAAAATTCTTTGAAAGAAATTTCTTAGTTTCGTGCAATAAGCCCATATCGTTGCTAGCAAGCAATATGTCATCAACATACAAAACCAGGAAAATATGTTTACTCCCACTGAACTTGTGGTATATACAGTCATCACTGACATTTGGTTGAAAACCAAAAGATATGATTACTTTATGAAACTTGTGATACCACTGACGAGAAGCCTGCTTGAGCCCATAGATGGATTTCTTTAATTTGCAAACCATTTTCTTTGGATCTCCCGAAACAAAGTTTTCTGGCTGCTCCATATAGATTGATTCCTCAATGTCACCATTGAGAAATGCAGTTTTCACATCCATCTGATGAAGCTCAAGATCAAAATGTGCCACTAATGCCATTATTGTTCTAAAAGAGTCTTTCGAAGATACGGGAGAGAAAGTCTCTTTATAGTCAATTCCTTTCTTTTGAGTGTAGCCTTTAGCAACAAGACGAGCTTTAAACCTTATAACATTGCCCTTTGAATCCCTCTTGATTTTAAATATCCATTTACAACCAATGGGTTTAATACCTTCGGGCAATGAGACTAGCTCCCAAACGTCATTGTCACTCATAGACTTCATCTCATCTTTCATGGCATTAATCCATTCTTGAGAGTTAGAACTTTCCATGGCTTGACGGAAGTTGATTGGATCATCTTCCGCAAAACCAACATCTGATTCTTGTTCTTGGAGGAAGACAATTATTTCTTCCACCAAATCCCAATTTTCCTCATGTTCTTGGAGAAATACAATATAATCATCCGGAATTGCATTTCTCCTCTCTCGAGTGGATCTCCTTAATGGCACCTCAGGTTCTTGAGGTTGTTGAGTTTGATCCTCATTAATAATTTCAGGTACCTGATTGGGGATATTTTCGAGATTGCCCTGAACTGGAGTTGTTTCTTGAACATTATTAGGAATAAAAATATCTTGATCATGTTCAATGACAACTGAAGGAAGAGTAACATGCTCTTCCTCAAGGACAAAATCTCTAACCTTATCTCCCCACCCCCCAAACTCAATATCCTCAAAGAACCGGGCATTACCCGTCTCAAAAATAGTCCTGGTAGTGGGATCATAAAATTTATACCCCCTTGACCTCTCAGAGTATCCTACAAAATAGCTAATAACTGTTCTAGAGTCCAGTTTCTTTTCATTTGGCCTATAAGGCCTTGCCTCAGCTGGACAACCCCAAACATGGAAATGATTTATACTGGGTTTCCTTCCAGTCCAAATTTCATAAGGGGTTTTAGTTGTAGCTTTAGTGGGAACC